ACCAACTAGTCAGTCCTGAAGGTCACGGGGTGGTTAGCAGATAACACAGTGAGGATTTACAGTGGCAAGACATGGCTTTGATGAGTGTAGCAGCAGAGAGGAGTCTTTCATACCCTGTTCCACACACATGAAGTACTACACTAACAGCTCTCAGTTACTCCTGATCTGCTCTGTTCCCCCTCATCCCCTCAGGATTAACTGACACCTCAGCTCCAATTTGGCAGCTTTATAAACACCAGCAGCCACAACTGCTTTTGACAGAATACTGGTAGTGGTGGAACAGAACACCGGACACTACTTGGATGAAAAATCCAAGGTATGTTCTTCATACTACCCGTCTTTATTAGAACTGGACAGCAGCTGTTGTATATGATGCTGTATTCTGGTATTGAGACAGTGCAGCTCTCAAGCAGCAGGCTGTGCATTCCAACAGGCTTGAGGTTTCCCTCGTGACATCCCCTTTGTATTTATAAATACAGCATTGCTGGTAAATGCAGTCAGCACTTAACAACTTAACCTTCTTTACAGCTGTACCATCTTTAAAGTACAAGATGAGAATGTGAAGAGATGAAACAAACCACAAGGCCTAAGCCTGTCATCCAGTGTCCCACTCATCTCCATCTCAGCTCCTGTCATCTAATTTCAAAGTCCAGTTAAATACTACAAACAGGTATGTTCACGTAAGCGTGGCTGAGCCCAGCTGGTTGCTGTTCAGAGAGCAAGTAATATATCTGCTTCATCTCTGCCACAGACATGGAGCAGAATAATCCATAAACTTAAAGCAAGTTTGCTATGGGGCTCGTTCATTGTGTTCCTTTCCAGCTGCTGTATCTAGACTTCAAGTGAGAAGATCTGAAATCAAGTTTTAATGAAACTGGGCTCATGTGACACAAATAACTCCACTGAAACCAATGAAGCTAAGCTCTGGGAGATCAAACTGAGACTGTTTTAACTGTTTCTTAATATATTTGTTCTCTTATCAGCCTGATTTACAGTTTGAATTATTTTGTTGTGGTTGTACATACTCTGAAAGAGGCACAGCGTAAGCAATTTGTTTTAATGAAAAAAGGAAGCTTTTGATGACATTTTAAGTTTTCTGTAGGCAAATGACTTGAAATAAAGCAGTTTTAACTTGGTTACTTCAATGCTATAACTGAGCTAGGACAAAAACTCAATACATGAGACAAGAAATAGAACAGAAAAGGTCAGATTAAGTGAAAGTTGGTAAGAGCATGCCATGTGCTAACAACTGGTAGGGAGAGTGGGTTATACACATGAAACTAAGACTGAAGTACATCGGATGGCAAGAATCAATGCCCATAGAAAGTCGTTAGGTTTGTCAGCACTGGGGAAGGGGTGAGTGCCAGGGGATGCTCAATCCCTCTGTAAACTTGGCAATTCAGGGGTGAGAGAAAAGAAACCCAAGGCAGTGAACACTGGAAAGGCTTTAAACCACTCATGCATGCTCTGGTGGATTCTGAGTTAGTTGTGATCTTTCAAAGGGACGATCTAGGCATCACCATGCACAGCTTGATGAAGACATCTGCTCAATGTGTAGTTGCAATGAAGAAAGCGAGTAAGGTGTTAGGCTGTATTAAAGACATAACAATATGGAAAAACATTACAGCATGTATTTCTCTTAAAGAGCCTCAATGAGTATTTGCTGTTTCATCAGCATCTTTAAAAGTGACAGACTAGGAAAGTACAGGGAGGATAAATGGTAAGAAAATGGCAGAAGCAGCTCTTTGTAGCTGAAAGACATCAAAACCAAAGTCATTTGTTTAATAAAAGGGAAAAAGGAGAGATGATCTACATCTTTAATTCTCTTCCCCACCATATAGTAGGATATTTATCTCAGTCATTTTAAGCCACCTACAACTCTATTGACCTATTCTTTAATGCTTGTCATTCAGCTACTTCAACATTTCCTCTGAAGCAACTGCAGCAATGTGTTGAAATTTAGCAGTAATCATTTCTGACAGAGCATTGTCATGGCTGATGCAGAGGAACAACTGTCTTGGAGGTGCTGCAGTGAGACAAGCATCAGGAAGAGGCCAGTCCCCACCAGAGCTGCAGTCCGTCTGCATGTATGCCACCACCACGTTCTCTGCTTCTCCAGTGGAGTCCCACTGTAAAAGCTGAGCAATGAGCCTTGATCTCACCATTACAGCAGACAAGAGTCCCTAGTATTCCCAACCAATCATTTCCTCATGTTCCTTCAGCTGCAGTTAACTGATGAACAGGAGTTAAGTGGATAGGGTCATCACCACCTCTGTATTTACACACCTTCCTTCTCCTGCCTGCCCCTCTCAGCTCTGCCTTCTGAGCATTTCTTTATCCCTTTGACAGAGGCCTCCACATGGGCAACTGTGTCCTTTTGTTTTATTTCCTTATCTTTTTCCTCCACAGCCTGCCTCAGTACCAGCCTTTAAAGTTTCAAAGTTAAGATTACTCTCTCTCCCCTATTTCCATTGTACCTGTATGCTACTTCAACATGGGCAAGGATAAAGAGCAGGACAAACGCGTTTACAGTGAAAGAAGAAAACTACTTTCCTGTCACAAAACACCACTTAGTACCCTGACACAAATACATACTTCCAACAGTGAACATTTCTAGTTCACATAATTGGAAACGACTTTAAACCAGCCACATTATAAGAGATGGCTAGCCATTGTGAGCAGGATTTTATTTCAGACATTGGGTTTATAAGATAGAGCAAAATTGATTTCATGTATTCCATATAAAAGCCAAAAAGCCTTATATTAATATACCATTTATGTTGCACAGAGAATGAGAGATGAAATACCAGTTAGATGGAGTGCTCAGCCTGAAACTTTTCCTTACCCATACAAAGTATACTTAACATATGCTTAAATAGGATGTATTTTACGTTCTGTAGAAATAAGCCTTTCCCAAAGTAGTATTAAAATACTGTAATGAAAGCTAATATAAAGAGCCTCTAATGAAGATTTTCAGTCCTCTGCAGCACCTTCCAGCAGTCCCAGCCCTTGACAAGGAGCAGCTTTGGCCTCACAACACCCCTGTGACGTAGGTGGCTGGAGTTTTTTGGTACAGCTGGGGAAACTGAAGCAAAGGGAACCTAAACTGCTTGAAGTCAACAAAGCAGCTCAGTGGAAAACCAAGGTCAAATCCCACTCTCCTGGGTCCATGCTCTTGCTACAAAATGGGCTGCTTTTCAGTGCATGCAGTCATTTTAGACAATCTTTTCCATTCTGGTGTTCCAGCTGAACTCCTTGTTCTGGTGATTCATGGACACTGTTAATTCACATTTCCAATAGTTGTATTCTGGCATAGCAGCCCCTGAACTTCATCAGCCTTGCTGTACCAGCATACATTCTAAGTTACTAAACATAAGCCCCTGGTACACGTATCATTAGAAGATGCTTCACAATAAAAGGAAATGTCTTCACAGCAATTTGAATCAGCATCTCAGCTTTTTATCATGCAGAAGCAAGAAAGGTTTCTTAAAAATGAAACAAGTTTTTTCCAAGACTGCTGAGCTGTCTTGGAATTTGTCCTTTCTCTGTTCTTTCCACAGGCAACCAATTAGACAGCTTTGGACCAATGCAAAACTCTACCTTCTCTCTGGACAGGTATTCCCAAGCCTTTTCTTTAAGGGGAAAAAAGAAAATGGGAGAGCTTCCTTAAGTACTGAACTCCACGTTGCCTCATTTCAGGTCAGATATATCTGTCACTTGTGAAAGCAGCACTTCTACCCAACCACTTACACTCCACTCCCTGCCTCAGGCTATGCATCTAACACTGTCCTTTAGGAAAACCCCCTTCTCAATTCCTCTCTTTACCTCCTGTTCTATTTGCATAATTTCCAATCTCCCTTATTTAAAAAGAATAAAAATCTCTTCCTTCCTGTTCAGTTTCACTTCAAACAGAACAGTAGGACTACATGTGGTGCTTTAGAAGCCAAACATGTGACAGTTACAACTTAGCCAAATCAGTGTTAGACTCCTCAGCTGTTTTCTGCTGCCATTTCTTCTTCCATCAGCTAAAGCAGGTTCTTGTATGAACCTGGACACAGACAAGCCACCCTTTTAACTTTTTCTTCAGAATTCCTTAGCAAATCCCCATCAGATTTCCTCCCCCTTTGTACGTACCTAATTCACCTCTCTGAAATGTAAAGGCATTGTTATTATTTTTGTTACATTCCCCAAAAAAGCCCCAATTTGCCTTCAAAATCAATCTGTGAAATTAAAAATTGAAAACAGAGAGGGGACAATTTGGGACCCTCAGTTACAGCCAGGTGCTGAAACCTAGATTGTGGCTATTCATAAAGATTGTGAAGTACTCAAGGGGGTTTTGATATATTTAGTTTCTTGGGCCTCTGTTACAAATTGGTCATGTAAAAAAAGGAGGTATTCATTTCTCTGACCATGTCACTATTGGGCAGAATAATGTACTAATACCTTGTAACTAAGCACCCCTTAAGCACATGAAGCTGTATTGATCTAAAAACAAATCATCTGCTCAAGTTACTTACAGCATTTGACAGAAAACCCCAAGCAAGTTTAAGACTACTCACCCAGGCTGAACTTAGACAAAAAACCAACCCCAACAAGCACTGCAAAAGCTCAGATAAGCAAACTCCAAGATACGCATTCCTATCACATTTATATGGTGTTTACCTGACCTAAACAGCATGTTGTGGTGAAAAGAGGGTTACCGAGAGCCAGCACATGCAGACACCAAAATGCTGGTGTCAGGTCCCTAACAGTCTGTACCATTAACAATTCAGCTATCCCCAAGTTTTACAAGAGAGTTACTTTGGACATGACTGGTAAAGGTAATTACAAAGACAAAACTGAAGGAGCAGGAGATGTTTGCTTTCCGTTGTCAATTCCTCTTCATTTGTGAGTAAGATTAAACATGGCACAGCTAAACCGGGGGCAGCGGGGATCAAAACTAATCCTCTTCTATATTTATCATCACTTCAAGGAAATACAGATGCCAGATTCCTACAGCAGGGATTTGGGAAGTCCAACTTTATTAAAAATGATCTAGTTTTTTTGGCATTTGAACATTCCTTAAATACAGACTGCATCATCGAGAGAGTCACAAATCCCAACTGTTCCTTTCCCTTTAGGTACTGGACATTTAAATGTTCTACCAGCAAGTTGGTAACTTCACTGCTGTATTTTCATTTCATGTCACTAAGTAAAATGGAACCTTGAAGTTGGAAACTAACAACCAAGCCACTACAAAAGCATGCTACAGGTTCGGAAGGAGCACACAACAGCATTTTACTGAGTGCTACCAAGAATCTCATTTCTGCAACCCTTCATTTATGGAATGAGCCTTCAGGAAGCATTCTGAAGGAATGACACAGACAGCCTCAGCGTGCCTCGAATGGATGCAACAACAAACCAGGTAAAGTTGGACTTCAGAGTCTCAAAAGCATACTGAGCTTCCACAGAGGGATGACTTCCAAGATTTCAGGCATGCACAATTCATTGTTACAGGAAGATGCTGACAACTGTTTTTTTGCTAGTTCGTGGCAGCGATATTTAATACGAGAAACAGTTTTCAATAGTTTAACATTCTGTGCTATGGAAATTGCTGCGTTTTCTTTCTTTTCCTTGATGCCTCCAGAACCTGGAATGAAATGCTTAAGAAAAGCCCCCCAGAGTAACAGCTCTAGTTATCAGTAGCTGATGGACTCTGGTGGCAGCACCCATCCAAGAGGTTTTATGGGTTTATTTCCTTCTTTGATTTAGCAGAGCTACCTTCAAGTGAAAAGCAAACCAAGGCTTCATTCACGCTCAATTCACAATCTCAATCCAGTCATATAGGGTGGGAATAAGAAGACACTCTAACAGGAAGTAACTAAACTTCTCTGTACAAACAGAAGTCATATTAGAATGCACTGCTCTAAGCTCTTACACACAGCCCACCTGACCATAAGGCTGACTTTACCCACTCCATGCCCTGTCCCTTAAGAGATCCAAATGTTCTGTGTCTCCTCAGCTGTCATAAGCTAGAACTAAAGGTAAAGATTCATTAGACTCCAGACTCTGTATTTCCATTTTATTTGATTTGAAACTGTTACAGGGTTTTCTTGAACTGCCAGAATTCATGCCCAAAACCTCAAAAGATGGTACAATGAACGGTCTCATCTACCCTTCATACAGTAGACTAAAACTCAGTTCATCGGTAATCCCAATACCTTTAGAGCATCAAGAAACGTGTTTGAAGCTTTCATGTTTCTACCCCATCAAGCAGCGTGTCCATTTAGCATGAATTCCACAGAAATCTTTAGTGACAAATCAACAGTTTAGCTGGCAACAACATATTTTCAAGGAAGATACATGGCTCAGAGTCCAAGGTATTGGTACGAGTCTTCCATTGAGGTTTTGCTTCCAAATGAACCCTCCAGCTTTATGGATAATTTCTTGAGCCCTCTTTAATAGCAGCTTCTAGCAGAAGTTTTAGAGACAGGTAACTCTGCAAGGGCAAGGCCAGTTTTAGTCTGTGCACAAAAGACTCAGGTGAAGCCCCAGCCCCACTGAAGTCAACAGCAAAATTCCCATTGGCCTCAGAGAAGCAGATTTAAAGCAAGTCAGCAGTTAGTCAAAGGGAACCCAGTGAGGCGATTCCTGCACTAACCTCATCTTCTGCACATACACACAACTACCACACGAGCCAACAAGTTTTGTTTTGTTCCCTGGTTTTTCTTGCCATTGGCAACTCCTGTAGATGTTGGGTCTAGTTTTTGGCATTTACTCTGAGAAACCTCAACACTGGAGCATGCCACTAGTTTACTTCATTTTGCTTCTGGTATAAGAACTCAGAGAAGAGAAAAGCAGTTACAGCAGGACACTTGGTACTTGACAGGTTTGGTTCATCAAATCAGTGTTGGGGGCAGTGTCCTAAATTCTTAGTGTATCAGTGCCATTTTGCCTACTTCCACTCAATTAAATCAGAGATGAAAACAACTGGAAGAAGCCACTGCTTTCAATTAGTACTAAACTTCCCAACTTTGAATAAACAGCATTTGAGTTTTACATAGAGGATTTCTGCCTCAAAAAGCCTGCATGCTTCACAGAAGTAGCCAAACAAATAAGGCTTACCAGCTCTAGTTATCCCTCTGCATACTATGTTATTCTGGTTATCACATAACCATTACCCTTCAACAAACAAGTAACTTTTTAATAGAGAAGTTTTTATCTAGTACCACTATGGCCACGTATCTCATCTTTAAAAGCCAAATCCTTTACTTAAAGAATCTGGATACCTCTGTGTAAAAAAGCCTCTTAATGCTGTAGGGTAGGAAAGACAAACCTCATGACAAAAGCCAAAATAAACCCTATTTCACTACAACATCTCATCGTTACTTAAATATACTGCAATTTGATATCAGAAACAAGGCAGGCATTTGTTTGTGGAGAACAGGAAAAACAAGATGCATCAACAGACAACTGTGAAAATGGCTAATGCAAACAGACCATTCAAACCCATTGTTCCTCCAATCTGATAGTGAGTTTTAATTTGTTTTGCAGTTACTTCAGTACAGCTATCTAAAAAGGTAAACAAACTACAGCTCTGTTATACTTGGGTAGCATGAGTGGTATTGGTACGCTCCAGAAGTCTCTAGTAGGCTATGGCTACACATAACAGGATTCCTCAGAAGGGGAACAGAATACGTTTGTCATTTAAGGTCACTTAAATCTTTGTTATAGCAAATTGGAACCAAATGGCTGACTTCTGCAGGATTTCTGACAGGAATCCAGTAGAGCTGGTTTCAAGTTTCAGATGGCCACTAAAACAGCTGTAACCTTCTCTTCCAGAAGTTGTGATCCACATGGTGTCCACAATGAGTGCAGCAAGTCTGAGGTAGTCAACCTTTACGAAGGCTCAGTATCTGAACATAAAAAGATTTTGAAATGACCACTGGCTGAAGGTATCTTTCTGAGCAATTAAAGAACACTGATGACTCTTGTTCAATCATTTACATTTAATCTGCCCCATTTCCAATGGAGAAGTTGTAACATGTAACGCTTCCATAGCGGAGGAGAACCAAGCACTTACGTCAAAAGTAGTCTGCACTTGCTGCAGTAGATCCAGCAGAAATAAGGTGGCATGTTCATCATAGCCGTTAGCTGTAGTTTAGTTACCTTAGTAGAAGGGTTACCAAAAAGCATTCCTTAATTGTAATGTGTATGCAGCTCTACTGATTCCCAAGCACAGCATACTGGTTGTCTAGCTGAAGTTTAAGTGCCTGGTTTTTTGACACCTCATCCCTACCTCTAGTTTTGTGTTTTACTACTTCAAAGCTCTTCTCCATTTCTTTATCCCTAAGGGAAAATAAATGTAATCAGTAAATATCTTATCACTAGCTTGTGAATTGTGAATTTCTAGTCTACTTCCACCCCAGCCCAACAAAACCATTATGAACGCAGAACACTTAAGGTCTAAAGTTTCAACACAACAGCCAAGCATTCCCAAGCAAATCTTGTAAAACCTTATCTCCAGAATAAGCTCACCCACTACAATTCAGATCACATTCCAAGTTTCAGTATTAACATCCTCAAAGGTAACTTTCAGTGCATTTATGAAAAACAGGTTTTAGAAGGCAGCAGACTATCTCTAGAATGCTTGCTCAGAATTCCCTCTTAGCTCAATTTGCACCCTTCAAACAGCTCATTTGCCAAGCAGACAAAGCCACACAAAGAAAAAAAGGGAAAAAAGAAGAAAACAAACCCCAAAACCCCAGAAGAAACAAAAGAGCCCAAGTGAATTATGTACTGGCCTAGCTGTTATCTTCTGTAGGGAATAAGGCTGTGAAAAGATGAAGTCTCTAAAGCAGGGTGAGACTCCAAGTCTTCAGCACCACAAAAAGAAAACCCTTCAGCAAACTGTGGGAGCTCATCATTGTAAACCACAGCTCCAACAGCAGTTTATAGATTCATATTGGTATAAAATCCCATTCCTCCATTTAAGAAGGAATCTTACTCATCTTCACATCTCTAATGAGAAGGCAGTGTGCTTGAGACATTCTACTCATGTCTACTGATGGTAATAACACAGAGCCTCGCTGTGGCTAGTATCTCAGGGAACCAGATGCTATCACTGCTACAGCACTACCTGCTTTAGGAAAACCCTTCAGCAAGTCAAAGATAGGGCAGTCTTGTTTGGCTATTTCACTGGGCTGTGTCCTATGAAAGTTATTTCATGGGAAGCCCCTCCTAGAGTTGGAAAATCCTGTTTCCCATAAATAATTTCTTAGTTATTTCTTTCCTCTCTTGACAGATTCAGGCTTAAGCTCTAAACCGAAGCAAGAACTTCGAGAAGGCAGTTAAAATGCATCTCATAGGGATGTACTTACTTTCGACTGTCTATGAGCTTGGCGATGGACTGCAGTGATGGGAACTGCGTATCACTATAGATTTCTGGTGGTCCTTGCTGTGCTCTCCGTGGCCTGCCACCCTCCCGGGCACCAGGAGGCCTGTACACACCACCAGTCTGAACTGGTTCGGGGGCTTCTGTAACTGGGTATAAGAATAAGATTTAGACAAGAGAAGTTTGCGTTCATATCTGGAAAACACCACCAAAAAAACAAAACACAAATGATAAAGAGAAAAGAATCTTACAGGTATGTTTTCTGCACTTTTAAAAGCTCTGAAAGCAAGTATTTTAGACATCAGATGTCACCTCATTTAACCTATACTTAGTAGTCAAATTAAAATGTGGCTTCAGTGTATTGCTTCACAGAGTTCAAGGAACCAAAACCACTGATGAGAACTTCACATTTCTTATCTGCTATTTATTAGCAGCTTCTATTTAAAACTAGAGATGTAAACACATAATTATGTATTTGCTCAGTCTTTCTTAAAGCACCTCTCCAGATGCAGAAGACAATTCCCAAACAGTTCATATTTAATGTTAACAATCTAAAAGGAAGTAACTCGTTAATTTTATCTCCTTGCTTGCACAAACAAGAGAAAACACAGCAGCCCACTTTGCAATCAGTTTCTCCATGGAAGAGAATAGTCTGAGCTCAGATCACATCCAAGTAATTTATTGCCACTGAAGTCCTAGCCCAGTTAAAGAATCGACTTTACAACGTCATGCTCTCCATGCCCTAGAGCAGATTTGAAAAGCATCCTACCAACCACAGAACCCTAACCAAGAACTGCCATCTACACAGCAGATAGTGGCTGAGCATCCACTTGATTGTCAAAGCAGTATTTCTGGATCCACAGAAGTGCTTCTAACAGGTATTCTGCAGATAGCAAAGCAGAGACCGCTTTCAGCCAAAACCAAAAACCCTTCCACTTGTGTTTTCTTAAAGTACCTGACAGTGCTATCAGTTCAGTTCCTCAGATCCCTTTACAAGAAAACTTCACTTCCTAGCATGTCAAACAAGGCACTGGTACGTTAGAACTGCCTGAATAGGAACTGTTCCATGAGCCCTACTCTCCAAGGAGCTTCATTCCACCCGATATGCTTCTGGTTGGAAAAAGCAGCAACTCTGAGTTAGATTTACCAACTGGCTCGACGACAGGTGCTGGTGCAGGAGCTGACTTGTTCCAAGGACCAGATGATCTGTCTATACCACCACCACCACTCTCCTCCCAGTGGTCACCGTGGTCTTCTCTTTTTTCACTTTCATCATCATCTTTTTCATCTTCTTTTTCACTAAAAAAGAGCAATAACAAGTAGCCTTTTACACACAGAGGTTTAAGACTCACCAGAGGCTACACAATCACCACAGACAAGACTTCACAGCTACTGCACTGAAGATGCTGGATTTAACCAGACTCCATTAGTCCTGTAACCACTGCACTGGTACTTCCACCTGAACAGCTTTTGGTACATTGCTACATAACTTGGCAAGTGAGAAGGAAAACAGTTCTTAAAGAAGAATTCAAACTGTACTAAGTGACCCAAATAAACCGATTTCTTATTTTGTGCTTCAAGTTACTTAACAAGACAATCATGCATTTGGAAATGAGGAGAAGCTAAGGAAGGAAAGGGCTACAAGTCCTGCTTTCATAAAATACTTTATTAAAGAGGAATAAACTGTGGAAAAATATAGTGACAGAAAGCAAGTCCTGAGCTCCCCTTCCCTGTAACCACAACCTAGAAACATTCCTATTGCCCATACCAAGACAATCTACAAACCAAGTCAGTGCTGTTTGGCTGGGTTTTTAAAAGAGGAAATCAAAAAAACTACAGACAGGATTACTCCATTTTTTAAAGAGAAATACTCTGAAAAAGCCTGACTCTATTTTATTTAGACTATTCTGTTTGGAACAGATATAGTCAAAAGACTCCAAATAAGCTGCTAAACAAAGGTGCTACAGGAAGCTGCGTGGTGTAATGAGACAGAGGTACAAGGGAAGGCTATAGAAAAACCAAAGCCACTCATCTGCATCGCAGCACCAAAGTGAGAATACAGAAGTTGTAATACACTCATCATGATTGGATAAGTTTTCTGTATAAGTAATCAGAGAAGAGTTAAAAATACCTATAATTTCTGAAAATTAAATGGCCTTTTATTGTCCAAACACAGTAACAATCACAGCAAGCTGGACCAAGAGCCTAAACACATCACTATCCTATTTTAAACGCCAGTCAAAAGCAGATGCCTACAGGCTAGCTAGAGCAGAGCAAACGCACACATCCCACTCCCACCACAGACTCTGTGGCTTATTTTCAGCAAAGAGATCTCCAGAGCTGGATAATTTATAACCTCCAGTGGGTTGCTCTTCCATTTACTTCTCCACTCTTCCCTTGAACCTACTGAGTAGCTATAAAATCCTCTGGCAGAAGCTTCCATGTGCCTGAGAATGTGCCACAGCACCAAAAGCATCCAGAATGCAAACAGTACCAAGAGGCAGTGAAGCAGCAACCCAGTTGTCACTTGTCTGTTCAGACATGTGATTAACCAATTTAATGGCATAGTTTTTTGACATAAAAATGCAATGGCTCAGGAATTCACTCCCCAAACTGAGATGCTGAATGGACTGAATCTGCTACCCTTACAGCAGTCCAATGATTCAGTGGGAATTATGCACTCCTCCCTCAGAAAAATTCCTATTTCACTATCTTTACAGAGGGCAATGTTAAGCATTTGTAATAAAAATGTGAACCCCAACCAAACCAGACAAACCTGGAGAATCCACAGAGATATAGAAAATAAAGAGAACATTGTCAGAGAACAGTCAAACCTCAGCAAACTTCTGCACTAGCAGAAACGTCTCAGACCTCTGTTTAACTGGACTCCCTGAAGGCAGCTCTGAAGAACGTAGTTTTTAGGCAGAGGTAATGATTATACTGGAGAGAAGAATTAACAAGAGAAGTAGTACCTTATTTGCATGGACTGAACTCTAAGACCACTATAATCAATTTCTTCCTTTTGCTCGAACTCCTTCCAATCATCTTCTTCCTGTAAGAAGAGAGAAATACAAGTTGTTAACTTCTTTACACTGAGAGTAGAAGACTGTAACTAAGATAATTAAGGTAATAAAAAGAAAACTAAGGGTGAAGGTGCAGTTCCATGGGAAATCAACCTATGTGCACCACTGCCAACTGGGAAAGAATTCCACTCCCTCCTCCCATAACTTACTGTATGTGATGTACTTGTGAGCTGACTCTAACTCACTGCCACAGCTAAGAGATGCACCAGCAAAAACACTTGTTCAAGTGAAAGAAAACCACATCATGTCAGTAAAAATCCAGTGGGAAGTCAAAAGAGCAGCACAGGACCAGGAAAATATAAGGGCAAGACCTCCCCCTTTACATAAAGGTAAGCTTCTGTGACAGCCTGAATGCACACAAGGCTTCAGATTTACTTTTCCATCACTTATTTCATGAGCCAAACATCAAAGGACATTTGAAACAGCTTACAGTGGATTTATGACAAAGATTAATATTGGTACATTTGACTTTTTCCACATTCACAGCCACATTTACAGTCTTTCTCAGCTTTTTAATAGTGTTTTTAGAATAGTAAAAAGGTCAGCTTCAAATCCCACAGCAATCTGAGCACACAAAACCAGTGGAATACAAGTCTCTGGAGAGCCTCACTTTAAGGTTTTAAAACAGGATTTTTGTTACATGTTTGGAGAAATCAGGACCCACCTAAGTGGGTCCCATTTTGTCCTATTGTATAATCAGCAGATTCTGGGGATACGGTAGGCCAGAAATGGACCAGAAAAGCAGGCCTCCCGTGTTCCTAGTCACATCTTTAAGACACACACACTCAGCCTAATTAAAGCTATTAGGCTTTAACTTTAACATCATTCCTACACTATACATGAAATGCAGTTTTATTACTTCAAATATGAAGACCCAGCAAGCAAGGTCCATCCATGGCATGGCCTTTTTCATCTGGGAACACAGCTTCTTTTAAGAGCCCTGTCCTAGGATCTTTATCAACCTCTAGCAGGAAAACTTTGACCTGCTTTAAAGTAACAGCAGAAGCAGAAAATGACCTGATGTATTGCACCGTCTGCTGAAGATCCAGTCTTTTGGAAGAGCCTGAGCTTACAGCTCTAAAATCTCTTGGATTTCTTATATCCCCATCTCCATGGAAACATCACTGTTTCCAAACCAATGTACCTTTCACATTTAATGATCTTTATCTCTATTTCAAGTACAAGCTTCAATCAAAAACATGTACTGCTCTACAAGCAAATGAGCAGCTAAAGAGTACACTGACCTTGGTCTACTTAGAGAGCTACTGCTGGTGTCAAGCTCCACAAGTTAAAGAACACTGAAGTAGCAAAGTGTTCCTTAAATTGCTTCGAATACACAGCATGGCCAGTTGTAAGGCATTAACTCAACTATGAGCACTTAAGCTTCTCTCGCATTCCCGTTGTTTCACTGTAAATCGGCACAAAAAAGGACTAAAGCCTAGCCGTACAACCCTTGTCGGCAATGGGGAAGGCAATGAGCTCGGCGTACTTTTCCTGCAGAGCCGCGGGACCTTATCACCAAGGCCCATAGGCCACACACCCAGGTGGCCTACAGCCGTCACCTGATCCAAACCTCCAGTTCCGGCCGCTACCATCCGTCGAGGCCCAGAAACCTGGGCGGCCTGGGTAGGACCGAAGCCGGAGACGGGGAACCGGAAACCGTCAACCGGCCACCCCACCCTTCTCCCCCCCCCCAGCCAACGGATATGAGGCCGGGAGCTCCGCCAGGCCCCATCGGCCCCGGGCGCCCGCATGGCCGGGCGGTGTCGCGCCGCTGCCGCGGGCCGGGCACTGCGGCGCCCCCTGCCGGCGAGAGGAAGCCGTGACCCTTCCCCCACCGCCGCCCCGACGGCGCGGCCCCGCTCCCCCCCGCACCTTGGTCGCCGTCTTGGCGGAGCCGGCGTTGGAGGCGGCGGCCCCGGAGCCGCTGCCGTCAGCCGGGCGCGTTCCTCCGGCCGCCCCCGAAGCGCTAGAGGCGGCGCTGGAGGCGGCGGCGGCCCCTCGGCTGCTCTTCTCCTTCCGCTTCTTCTTGTCCCGCTTGGCGAAGAAGTCGTCGAGGCTCCTCTCCTCGGTCGCCGCCATGGCGGCGGCTCCCAGCAGCGGGGCTAGAGAGACTGTGGGAGAAGGAGAGCGCAGCGGCGGCCCGGGCCAGCAGGGGAGCCCGGCGCGGCAGACGGCTGCGGCTGGCAGGCCCGGCCGGACGAGCCCCCGCGCTCCACGCTGGTGGCCGCCGCCTGACACGGCCCGGAGGAGGGGTGGCGGTGGAGGCGGCCCTCTGAGGGGAGCGGGGCGGGTCCTATGTGCTGCGCCCTCCCTTCCGCGCATGCGCTGCAGCGCTCCAGCCAATGAGATTGCTGGGAAGGACGCTCCAGCCGACCAGTCAGAAGTCTCTTGGGGGCGAGCAGTGACGTCACGACGTGAGGATTGCGTAACGGGCAGGCAGGCGGTGGCGCGGGCAGGGATTGGCTGGGCCGAGCCGGGAGGGCGGGGCGGGGCGGCGCGTGCGCCCGGCGGCCGTTAGGCCGAACCGGCCCCCCCTGCCGCTGGGAGTCGGGCCTAGGGATGCTTGTGGGACGGGACGGGACGGGATGGGATCGGATGGGATCACCCTTCGGGAGACCCATGGCTGAGGTGCTAGAGGGTGCTGCTGCAGCCCCCCTCTGCGCTCGGCCGGTCCTACCGGCTGGGTCTGTGTCCCTCTCTCCACGCTTGAGGCGAATCGGCGTTTGCTCCTAGCGTGCACTGAGGTGACGAGCCCAGAAAGAGCCGTGCACCGCTGTAAAGTAATTGCAGTTTCATCTTGTAAATGCGGTGTGGGTCCGTCTTGGTGCGGTTAAATTAAGTACTTGACACACCGCCCTGTCTGGGATGTCCGGATGTGTCGGTGCGAGCTTCCCTGACTCAGAGCGAATCCTCGGGAGTATCTGCGGCAAAACGAAGCTAACAGTGGGTGTCTGCAGACGGACACTGCGTGCTGCAGTGGCCTTGAGCTCCGGAGAGGTGAAAAACGGTGTTCAAAAGCTTCACTGTGGCTTTAAAATGTGTTGGAAAACAGTGTTAGGAGTCATAGTTGCATGACACATTGTTCCTGATGACTCGCTTTGGTCAGCCCTCAGGAGGAGAGAAGTGTTCCTGCTGCTAAAGCATGAGCCCAGATGAAAGCTATCTGTCAAGCACTGCTTTGTATTATGGGAATATAAAAGTAAACGTGTATGTATTCCCAGTACAGGATTATTTCATGCTTTGTGACTTCTTCACTTGAAATCGTTACATATGTGTATATATATTAACATATAAAAAGTGTTTCTGAATTTTGAGTGTTTATCAATGTGCCCATGAAAATACTGTTTTATATATATAGATAGCTATATAGATATATCTATAGTGTTTTCCACCCACATTCCTGAGCTTACTTGACAAAAAGAGGGAAGGTGCAGCTATCCTACTGCAGGCACTCTTTTGTGAAGGGGTTGTTAGCAGTAACTGAATCGTTGTAGTTGATGATTCCGTGTTTGAGAGATTCATTGCAATCCTCTTTATGTCTGTCGTGCTGTGTTCTCCCTGTATTTCTCTACCACCGCTGTGCACTTACAGGGGTTGGCTTCACACAGAGCAGGCCCTAAGAACTTAACCATGGGACAGTTCATCTGGTAGTTCCAAAGATGTGAACAGTGACATCTGTGTGTGACAGGAATAACTACTGGAGTAGAAAGCAAATCTGGGAGGTAAGTCTCGTTTCCTGTGCCTCCTTGGTGCATCCAGGCTCCCCTCCTACTCCTGCTGTCCCCTTTGGTTGCCAGAAGGTCACAGGAAGATGTGACAGAGGACAGTTAGACGTGGAGGAATGTTTGCATTGCCTTCCTTTGTGTTTGTACTCCATTGCACAGGAAACTGTAAGGCTGGAATGACTCACTCTGGATTAGAAGCACTAAGGAGCAGAGTAGCCAGAAACAATTCAGCTGTTAAATCTGGAACAGACTCAGTGGAAATCATAGGAAGTAGCAGCAACATTTTAGGCCTTGGAAGGCTTAGGTCCAGATTAAAGGCATGTCTCAGCTGGCACTTTGAAGGAAGCATTCATTAATTACACAGTCATGCTGGGATTTGCCTCCCACCTCTAGTTTTATTTATGTAAAACTGTGGAAACGTGGTGGTGCACACCATTTGTATGCAGTTTCTCTGTGAATTCATCATGTTAGCCTTTATGGGTAAGGTTGTTGTGAAAAATGTTAGATGCAGGGAAAAGAAAAGGTCAGTATTTCTGCTTTCCTCACTCAAATGCAGTGATCTTCAATACGTGTGCAGAGGACATTTGGCTGAAGGATGACTCACATCCATGGACTGGCAGAAGTCATGCTCATAATGCAAGGAATATATGCGGACTGCCACATTGCTGTGACAGGAGCGTGAGCTCAGAGACAGCTTTCTCCTGCAGTAGATACCAGTAACCTGTGTGAGCAACCTTTGCCAAGACACTGCTCTGAATGCAGAGGCTCAGGTACAGATTTACCTGGAGGACTCTGCCTCCTCCCCCATGCTACAGCCTGCCTGTTGTGGCACACAGAGGTGCCTTGGTTCCTTCCTGTACCTGAGTCTTGCAATGATGCTGTTCCTTGTGCATCCTGGTGCATTTCACAAAGACTGAAGGATGAAGTGCTGCTCCCCGTAGGGGAAGTGATGCAGCAGCCACTGTTCACATGGAGAGACTAAAGTGAGCTGTGGGTGATGCAGGAGTTAGGAGCAGAATCCCATTTCCAGCCACCCAGCGCTTTGTCTTGCCTTTACTTCTTCACACCAAATTATTTCCACTCTGTGACATGAAGGCGATAGCACTGCAAACTGCTTTGACATTTGCAGAGGACAAGCAGAACAATTCATCTGATAACAACAGATGCCTGCTTAAGGAAGTTGGAGAAGGTGCCCTTAGGCACTGAGCAGCCTGCAGAAGTGTTCTGGTAGGCCCTTGCCGCAGCGTGAGCCCTGGTTCTTCTGAGGAGCTTAACCTTCCAGTCAGCTTTGGGATGCTGTGGGTTCACTGTGTTTCAGAAGGGAGAAGTGTTGCTATGCCTGTTTCTCCACTAGTAGATGCCATCTGAAAGCAGGCAGTGGTAGAAGCAGCGTGTGGTGTTTTGTTGAAGTATTAAGTTATACACAATGCCAGCTCGAAGTCACCTTAAAAATAGATTTGCAGGCATAGAACCAGTATGCTATTGCTTATGCTGAACTGAAAACACTAGGCTGGTAGGCTAGAGTACCAGTTCCTGGCTGGGATGCTGCTCACTCAGTGTGAAATGTGAAATGAAGCATGAGCTAGCATTGGGCTAGTACCCCCTGCTTCCCCTGAGGGTGCAGCAGTGTCTGTTCCAGCTGTGGCACAGAAGCAGCTGTGCCTGGGTGAAGAGGAGAATAAAGTACACAGATGGTTTGACAGTACAGTAAATCCAACTGAGTGACTAGTTAGCACCAGGGATTGACTGTGCTTCACAGCCCTGACTAGGCTCTCTCCCCAGTCCAGCCCTGTACTGGTGCATGCCTGACCCTGTGTCGGCCCGGTTCAGGGAGCTGAGTGGCAGGATTTGGCCTGCATTTTGCAGGGCTGATTTTTGCTGGGTTTGCTTCCTGAACTGTCTCCTGAGATATTGGGTGTTGGTGCAAACACAGGACAGTGTGATGGGAACACAGCGAGTGAGGGGGGCATAAATGTCCTTTATGCAGCAGCTGGCTGTTAGGTTGTATTATCTCCAGCATCTTGAGTTCATAACAGCAAACACCACAAATCCCTCCATGGGAGTATAGGTGTGATAGTTACTGCAGTAGGAGCTAATCAAATCTGGTTCCTGTTTTTGGTTTTCTTAGGAAAACCGGTTGGAAACGTTCATGTGCATTTAATACAGCAGCTGCTAGACTAGAGGATAAAGGTAAATCAGTTTATGAACCTCAGCACTGACAAATAGTTGTGAAAGCCTCTAGTCTCTCATGTCCTCAGTTTCCCATCTCACACAGTGAGAACTGTTAACGCTTAGCTAGCATTCAGGCTGGCAAGACATGCTGGAGGGGCTGTGTAGGTAGCTAGCATCAACCTGTGTGAAGGTATAGATTTCTTCACATGAGCTTTAGCACTTCCCATGAAAGCACCTTGTTTTCAGAAGGCCAGATATGTTACGTTTGACTTCTGATAACTAATCACAAAAGAATCTTTTCAGTTGCTTTTGGTCCTTGCTCGGGATAGAGAGAAAAGCTGTTGGAAATTCATCATTTCTGCTTAGGTGCTCTCTCCTTTTCCAGCCACTTCCCTGGAGTACCTTGATGATTTTGCAATAAACTATTTTCATTCCACTGAATAAACATCTTGGTAGGAAACTAATTGAATTTTAATGAAATATGCTGGATCGTGTGAACCTACCATCCAAGTTTTTTTGGAACAAGCACTCGGAATGGCAGGTAAGAAACTCAAATCCTTCTTATCATATCCCAGTGTGGTTGTGGACTCATAATTTCACCAGGTTTATCCCTGTTGGTGACATTTATAAAGAACAGCTGCTCAGTGGGATAGCCAGCAGTGGTTTTCGTACCTACAGCATCACTAGAAAATAGCAAAGAGATCTGACTCCAGATTGTATGGTTTTATGCTATAGATTTGATTACTTATAGAAGCTGCTGTCTGTAATTTCAGCGCACATGAGACACAAAACCTGAAAACCTACTGGGGGGAGTGCTATGAAGAAATACACACATAATGTGTAAATTCCCTCTTCTTTCTCAAATCATACAGAAACTGCTCTCTCCTATGTGTCAAGAAGGAAGGGGAGGTTATGTTTCACTGGTGTCCAGAAGTGACTATCCCTAGATAGCACCCAGTGAACAACCCAAGGGTCTGTGTCATCTCATCTTTTGTACCACCTTTTGTGTCTGTTTTCTCTCATCATCACTATTGATGGAGTCTCAGCTTGGTAACTTCTGTACTGATGTGTAAGTAGTTATCATTGCATGCATACTGTGAGGGAATAAAGGGGAATCTGCCATCATCAACCTTTCTTTTTTTTGTGGTTCTTAGGTAATCTCTTATTCCAGTGAACTGGGGGATTTTTTCATCACAATCTTGCAGGTGGTACATGCCAAATGGCCTTTCTTGCAGAGATTAAGGAATTGTGTGTCAAGTAATCATATCAGGAAGGATTTTCCATGTGTGGGAAATGGGCAAGGCAAGACAACCCTTGCATGCTGATTCCTGTTACTCACTGATGGGTCAAGTATAGTGCATTTGGAGTGTATTTGACTTCATCAGTGATTAAAAACTAAATAGCTATGTTAGCTACTGTTCCAATGGAAGATCAAAACCTCTACAGACCACCTCTCATACATGCTGTGTGGCATTATGTTCTCTAATACATACCATTTCTCGCTAGTATTTGAGTCCACATAATGAACTATGTTGTCAGCCTGTGTAACTGTTAATATTGTAAAGTCCTAATCCCACAAACATATGTATGTTTAGCTTCCCATGCAGCAACCTGGAACAAGAAAGGCAGCCATCTGCGTAGCTGCAGATGCAACTAGCCTTATACTGGGCTGCATCAAGAGGAGCGTGAGCAGCAGGTGGAAGAGGTGATCCTGCTCCCTACTCTGCTCTCGTGAGACCCCACTTGCAGCACTGTGTGCAGCTCTGGTGTCCTCAACATAAGGAAGACATGGAGCTGTTGGAGCAAGTCCAGAGGAGGCCATGAGGATGCTCAGGGGCTGGAGCAGCTCCTGTATGGAGACAGGCTGAGAACATTGGAGACTGAGATTGAGAACATTCTCCAGGTTCAGCCTGGAGAAGAGAAGCTGCGTGGAGACCTCAGAGCAGCTTCCAGTGTCTGAAGGGGCTACAAGGACGCTGGAGAGGGACTCTTCATCAGGGACTGTAGTGATAGGACAAGGGGTGATGGGTTCAAACTGAAACAGGGGAAGTTCAGAATATGTTAGATATAACCTCACAGTGTTCAAGGCCAGGTTAGATGGGGCTTGGAGCAACCTGGTCTAGTGTGAGGCATATCTGCCTGTGGCAGGGGGTTGGAACTGGATGAGCTTTAAGATCCCCTCCAACCCAAACCAGGCTGGGATTCTGACATTTTGTGTGATAGGGGCCAAAGTTTGTTAGGATCTCTGAAAGGACAGGTCCATCTTGGCACTTTATATGATCATACGGCACATGCAACACCATGAGGATATCAGTGTTTAAAATAGAAGGGTAAGAGGGCAAATCTTCATCATGATACCATCAAAATAAGAGAAACTACCTATGGTCACCCACATGTTCATGCTACTTGGGAGCCTGTTCAAAGGGAGTTTGGCCAACCTGCCTTAAGGGATGCTGATAGCAAGAAAGAGCCAAGCAAGAAAGCGTTTACTTGCTGGGAAGTGGAGGGCCCATGTTCTTAATCTTATCATGACAAATACTGAAAGGAGGAAATAAAAGTCAAACAACCCCCTGATCTTCTTGATGTTTATTATAATTTTAACAACATGAGTAAATTGGAATCTGTAAGCAAAGCAATTACATGAGGAGGGTCTAATAAAGTTGTTCAAGCTACAACCTACTTCGATTGTTGAGTCAAACTGAATAGAGCAGGCTGCTTTTGGGGTTTTTAGCTTCCATGAACAGAATGGGCAGTGACACCTTTTGCTTGCATGGCAATGGTCTTCTGTGGGCTGGGGCTTTCATAAATCAGCTGAAAGTAAAATAGAGAAGATAGAAATAAACCGGTCACTACTACAAGGAGGAAAATTGCTGAACTAAGAACTGTCTTCAGCTCAGCTGCTGAAATCCCATCAACCTCAGTGGGATCTTCTTACAACAAATAATCTCCCTGACCTGAGCAGAACAAGTCAAAATCTCTGTATCAGATTCTCAGAGGTTCCATGCCTAATGGTGATTGAGGTTCTTAAAAAAGCCCAAAACCCAGCAACCCACCCACTGTAAAGGCTTTTATAGGTTATCCCCAGAGGGCAAATGCCAAAAGGGTCTGAACAAAAGGTACAGTCAGAGTGCCAGGTCCTGTGCTCTGACTTTGAGGGGCACTGGTGTGCTTAGAACTTTAGTATTAGGATTGTATAATAGTAGGAGAAGGGCAGGCATCATGTACCCAAGGCAAGAAACAAGAGCTGCTTTACAGCTAATGTAGCCCCCAGGTGCTGTAGTAGCTTTTCAATCTCACCTCTCAAATGTTGAGGGAAGTGAATGAAACTCATGGATCTGCTGGAGTATCGCTAAACCTCATCCTCCCATGCCAGTGCTGGAAACCACTATCTCCCCAGTACATCAGGAATCTCTGCATGACTAGGGTTGGCGTATTCTTCCCCTTGGGCAGCTTTTCCAAACCTCACCATCTACCACCCAGCCTTATGAAACACAAGAGCCCTCCTATTCCTCCTGCTCCCAGCAACCTCACAACCCCTTCCCAGGGAGCATGTGTTCTCCATCCTTGTGGCACACTTGCTTTTTAGGACCGGTACCTGCTGTGTTCTCCATCCAGAAGGCAGTGATATGCAGCAATGTCTTTCTCCAGCTGTTGTTTGCTGCTCAGCAGGTTTTCACGATCCCGCTGCTGCTGCTCCGTTTCCATTTTGATTTCCCCCATCTCTGCCTCCAGCTTGGAAATGACAGAGCCTAGGTTCTGCAGCTCGATGTCGTGCCAGTGCTTGGCGTCATATAAAGAGTTCTCCAGACCTCTCTTCTGTAAGGGCAGGACAGCAGACATTAAAACGGTCAGGTTTCATATCACAGAGTCACACAGAATGGGTGGCATTGGAAGGGAACTCTCTAGATCACCCATTCCAACCCCCTGCCAAGGCAAGGCCACCAGGAGCAGGTCACACAGGAATGTGCCCAGGCAGGTTTGGGATATATCCAGAAAGGGAGACTCCATAACCCCCCTGGGCAGCCTGCTCAGGGCTCTGACACCCCCAAAAGAAAGGAGCTCTTCCTCATAGTCAGATGGAACTTCCTCTATTTCACTTCATGCCCATTGCCCCTTATCCCATTACTGGGCACCACTGAAAAGGGTGACAGCTGCCCTGAAGATATTTGTATGCATTGATAAGATCACCTCTCGAACTCTCCTCCAGGCTAAAGAGGCCCTGCTTTCTGAGATTCCTGAGGATCTGGGATTCCTCAGGGCTGGCCTTGGCAGTAAAGGCTAAAGCAAAGAAGGCATTCAGTAACACCACCTTCTCTGTATCCTTCATCACCAGGCCCCCCACCTCACTCAGCAGCAGGCCCGTCTTTTCCCTAGTCTCCCATTTGCTACTGATAGACTTGAAGAAACCCTTCTTGTTGTCCTTGACATCCCTTGCCAGATGTCATTCCAAATGGACCTTAACTGTCCTCATCGCATCCCTGCATACTCTGACAACATTCCTATATACCTCACAAGTGGCCTGTCTCTTTTTTCACATTCCATGAACTTCCTTCTTCTATTTGAGTTTTGCCAGAAGCTCCTTGTTCATCCCTGCAGGGCTCCTGCCTGCTTTGCTTCATTTCTTACTCCAAGGGGTAAGGAGGAAGTGATGCTTGAATATTAACCACCTCTATTGGCCCCCCTACCTTCTAGAGCCCTGACCCATTAGATTCCTCCAAGTAGGTCACATATGCCTCATAGGGATTTTTATTCAGGTTTGGCCAGTATCTCCATTGAATATGATTAAGTGGGGATGGAATACTTTGAGAATTCCTTCCTTTGGATACTTTGCAAAATGTCTATTACTGTTACAAAGGTTGAACTACTTTGGTTACATGGTGCAGGTATTCTTTACATTGTCAAGTGCTACCCACCCAGCAATTCTTATTGAGTATGAAGACATTTGGGGTTTGGTTGTCAAACGTGGTACACTTAGTGCACCACGTCAATCAAGAAGAACCCAGAGAGGTCTGGCATCTCTGGAAACAGCATCCATTGGAAAACAGGATTTATTCTTAGGTCTCTATCCCAAGTTGGGAATGTTTTCCTCAGAAGGCATGTTGAATTTGCACACAATACACCCAGCACGACTTACCAAGGTCCTCAAGGATTCCGTTTCTGCTTGCAAGCTCTGTATTTTGCAGGCAGTTTCATGGAACTCGGTCCTGAGGCCCTCCACCAGCTCCTCCTCCTGGGTTCGCACGGCCGCGGTCGCTTCGGCCTGTTGCTGGTAAAGGATTGCCACTGTCATCATAACCTACTCAAATGATGGGTTAGTTTCCTTATGTACCAAAGTGACAGCTAATATTTACACAGTTTATGGCAATTCTGACTTTACATCTTGTTCTTCTATTTTAAAGCCCTCAGTTGAACAATTAGGGATACTTCTTAGTGTCAAAATTGCCATCTTTTCTATGCATTTACTGTAAAATGGCTTATACCTTTGAGTGGATATAAGCTCTGACAACACAAGCTGCTCAGCAGTCATACTAGTACACTTAAAATGACTTATAAAAAGATAAAGTTACTGTAATTCTCCATTTTGTAGCTATAATTAATATAATTATGCTATATATTATATATAGAATATAGAATACAATATAATTATGCTATTTTTTTTTAAGAAGCAAAGTGATTTCACTTAGTCTGTTGGATTTCAGAGGTATTCACGACTTGATTTCCCACTTAGGATTCGGTGAGTCAGAGAGCAAGTCATCTCACACAAGGCAGAAGGATAAGTTGAATTAAGATATTCGTATGTCATTTCATACCCTTGTTTCTTATGGGCTTTTATACGTGTTTAGGTCAGGGTCCTTGAAATGAGGTGAAGGAAAATGTACCTTAGTAAACCGAAAATGTCTATAGCTTTTAATGAGGGCTGAGATCAAGGTTTTCAGTCCAGAGCTCTGGGCTCTCTGACAAAGGCAATTCTTCAGTCAAAACCTACATTTCTTCTGGCTGATGTTAAACTATGCAGAATAGCTCTGTTCCACTCAGAAAGTTCATCTTGACCCTGTCCTGCTTTTCTGATCATGCATTTTCTTCTCAAATAAGGGATTTAAAAGTAAGTCTGGGACGGTGCATCAGAACTAGTTTTTATAGGGGGTGGGTTTGGTACCATCATGGGAACCCCACACCTTGGTCACTGTGAACGAAATCATCTCAGGTGCAGAAGGTCATTTAAGTACAAGGTAAATCTCAGGCAGAATTCAGGCCTTATGAAGCTGTATTGCAGAGGGTGAATTTCAATGCAAACACCAGTTGTCCTTCACAGAGACCTAATCTCACCTCACTAGTCCTGATGATCCCAGCCTAGTGATCCCTGGACCTGCCACTCTGCAGTCATTTGTGTCTCTTAAGTTGCATTGAGAGTGTAGCCTGCATGTTATTATGGTAGGAGGACTATAATACCTCTTTTTAAAGGGCAAGAAGGGTGCTTTTGCTCCTATACATATAACCTACACCCATTACCTGAAGCCCGGTATCTCTCATTCACATTTACCCTGCTGGTGGCCCAAATGCTACCTATAAATCCAACTTGCCCTTACCACAGGTGATGTTGGATCTCCTCCACGAGATACCCTAAGCAGTCACAGCTACCTGACTTTAGTGATAGGAATGATACAACAGGCAGGTGGAGTAGATGGGCCCTAAATACCGAGGATTACACAGCAAGTAAGCACACAGTGAATGAGCTCTAAAGCTTTTGGTACACACAGGGGTTCCCTAACCTCCTTACAGATTACCAGCTGAGTTACACCAAGAGGCCAAGTGGAGGGTGCTGCTGGACCCTCACTTTTGGGTTTCTTCTGTAGAGGAACCTCAGCTTTGGGGCTCCTTCTATAGAGAAGTTCAGACGTGGTCCTTGTGCCCTCTTCCCTTTTCAGTTTATGGGTTCTGCTCTGCTCTTCCTATTCCTGAGAGGCTCCACAAAGCAAAGGCCATACCAAAGTGTGGTGCCCACAAACAACTGGATTAATGAAGGGAGAGGATGAAATTATCCTCCTAAATCTTTATCAGTCAGGTTGGTGCTTGAGTTTCCTGGGGATGTGTGGATTTCAAGCCCATCTGTACTGTTCTGAGCCAGGCATTGTGCAGAATCTCCTTGCTGTTTGCCTTCGCTTCCCCCCCTTTGTACCATGGAACAAGGCGGGGGGGTGTTTTTACTATGTGTTACATATAAATATTACCTATAGCACAGCTGTAGTTACTGTTTGCTGTGCCATGCTGTGCTGTAAGAGCCACTGCAGAATGAGATGGCTCCTAACAGCATCATTCCCTGATGGTCATCTATGAACATTACTCTTCTCATCACTTTCCATTTCTGAGTCAGTATCCAGCTTTCCCACTGCTGCCAAAGGAAACAAGAGTAAGGAGGAATCCATGAGGAGGCTGTGTAATTAGTGGAGAGAATTATGTATTACTTTTTGATTTATAGACCCCTCCAAAGCATTCAGCAGAGGAGCAGCCCTAGTGAGGAGGGTAACAACTGGGGCTTATCCTGCACAGAAGGTATCAACTGATTAAGTTCTGAGCCACCACTTGAAGATGTTCCTGCTCTTTGCAGGGGGTCAGACTGGGTGAGCTTTAAAGGTCCCTTCTAACCCAAATTCTATGGTTCTATGAGTCTGTTTTCCTCAGCCAACATTTCAGAGCCCCTGAAGCCTCCCACAGATCCCTGTGTTATCAGCAGGGTCATTCCCACCGCTGCTTACCTCTGCCTCCCAAGAGAGCCACACACTCCGTGTGTGTTTTCCCATGGACTTGGACCAACATAAAACCATTTTTGTTTCAAGGAGAAACCAAACACCCAACCCACACAGTTCCTGCAGGGTATCAGGTTGGTGTTTGCTTCACAGCCTGTGGTGCTGCTGTGCTTACCTTGGTACGAAGCAGGGCTCCTGTCTCAGCACGATTCTTTTCAATGTCTCTCTCCCAGTGGATCCTGATTTTTTCCAGGATGTCATCCAGGCCACTTCCCAAGGGAACATCCAGTTCTTCCAGCTGAGATCCCGCTAGCTGCTTGTATAACACCTTCACATCCTTGAATGAAAATGACAGACAGAAGGTGAACGGAACGATTGACTTCAGAGAGGCTTGAGGAAGAGCTTGTTTGGTGCCAACAAAGGGAATCATTACGTTTGGCCCCAAAAGGCATCTCTACATTAATGATCTAGTGCACTGGGGGGTTTCTTTGTCAGATATGGATTTGCCTTCCTTCTGCATGGGGAGCCTTACTTCAGCTCTGGGGTGCTGGAAGTGGTTTCCCCTTTGGTGAAGGAGGCTGCAGCCCTCACCATGGCAAGTTTCTCCAGCAGTCAGAGCTGGAGACTGCACTGCAAACCTGGGGCCCAAACCCAGCACAAGCGCACTGCCAGAAGGCTGCAGTGTGGACATTGGGTCAAGGAGCTTGCTTACAGCAAACCAAACCCTGCTTTTCCCTCTCTGCTGCACCATGCATCAACATAGACAGGCGTCTATTGGCAGACACAAGCTGTGGAAAGCATCTTGTGTGAGCCACCTGTGTGCTTTCATGCATGTGAATGTTAGATGAAGAGCACTCTCCTTCTCCATGGCAGCATTCTGTTTCTTCTTTACTTATAAGTGCTCCAAAACTGTGTAAGCAGTAGAGAATTGCTGTGTTTAGAACTTAAAGGTAGCCCATCAGCTGTCCCTTGTGTTCAGGAACACAAGAATAAATGAGGTTTGCACATGTATCTGAACTCTCTGGTACTACCACAAGCCTTTTACATCAATCTGTTTATATATTCTATTGGTGTGAGCTGTATTTGTAAGCAATGGCCTCTAACAGTGACAACACTGGGGGAAAATGGATGGGAATTACATGAATTATGAATCTTTAAGAATGAAAGCCTTCAAATGTGCTCACTCCGTGTTCACAAGAGCTTGACACAGGTTGGAGGAATGCAAAGTTGGAATTACTTCAGGAAAGTCCTTGGGACTTCATTGTGCCACAGCTCAGCTGGAGTAATCGCAATAGTTGCTTCCAGCCTTTATTCTTTGCCTTCTCTTGAGCAGCTTCGCCTGGTGCTGCTGCCATGGGAAAACCAGGTCTGTGCTGAGGTTGCTCAGACACTCCAAATGGGTAAGGGAATGAACATCATTCTACCCTGCAAGGGCTCCTCACTGGCTAAATGTGCAGCAAGAGAAACTGCTGGGAAGGTGGTGTCCTTGTTATGCCATATATATGGGCAGAGAACAGCCTCAGTGCCAGCTTTTCTGGTTTCAGGAACACAGTCTGAAAGGGGATCCTGTGTATTTGTATCAATGTTTTGTTTTCCCTCTTATCTAAAATGATTTCCATCCTTCTCATGCTGTGCAGCAGTGATGGAGCCATGGGTTATTTTCTGCAGAATGCCAGCCTTGGGATTAGACTTGTGAAAGCAGGGAGGGGATGAAGCAACCTTATCTCAGCAAGCCAAGTCCGCATATACCTGCCAGGGATGCTGAAATCTTGTGATTGGAGAAATAACCTGGAAGAAAGGTAAGGTAGGATGGTGCCTTGCTTCCATGAACCACCTCAATTCAAGCTCCCTTTTACTTCTGAAGCATCAGCACCATTGCTTGTGGGATTAGTAGTAGCTCCATATCCAAACCCCCATCAGTAAAGATGCTGATGTGGATCTGATCCTGAAACCCCTGCTAAAGGCAATAACCCACCTTCATGCAAATAGTGCTGGTGAATGTAATGAGTAAGTGGGAAGGCATTGCAAAACTGGGTAATAATGGGCTTCCCTTCCAGCTGCCTGTCCCCCTGGCTTGCTTCTGGGGTGTGTTGCACAGGAGAGATTCTGCTGTGGGAACCGAGCAGCTAGCTGAGCCAAGCAGGGTACGTTCAGAACCTGGGTATGATGTTCAGTGTTAATGCAGCAGGACCAGAGCTTGTTCCCTGCACACTCTTCACATCTCTGGCTGAGGATCAGACCTCTCTGTTGAGATGTCCACATAGGTGCAACCCTGTGACCACCACGTGGTGTCTAGCAAGAAGTGACACCTCTTCCATGTCATGTTTATCAGCCAGGAAAGACTTAAGACTTAAATGCAAGCAATTTAGAGGTTAGTGCTTGAAGTTAACAGAGAGAGAGAAATAAGAGCGGGTTTCAGAAGAATCCCCAGCCCCAGACATGACAGGCAGAGCTTTTTAGTGCTTGGTTTGCACTAGATGTATGATACCAACCAGATGAAACAGGCACACATTGGCTTTGCAGTGTCCCGAGTCTGGACTTACTTCTTCATGAGTCTTTGACAGCAAAGTTAGTTCTTCTTTCATGGTCTCTATCTGACTCTCCAGATCCATTTTAGTTAAATTAGCATCGTCAATCACTTTATATAGCGAATTAATTTCATCTTCCACTGCCTTTCTGAATGGCTGCTCATTTTCATACCTGCAGAGAACACAAAAAACACCCCCCAAACCTTAATCCAGCAGAGTTCAGCAAGAAAAACCTGCTTTCTTTTCAATGACACCATTTGGGCTAATTACCTTGTGTCCCAGACAGAGGCACGGAAGATATACTTTGCTCTCACCTTGTCTCACTGTGCTTGAATTTAACTGCCAAAGGACCCTTTCATTAACTCAGAGTGTAATAAAACAGGCCACGTTTGTGCTCTGCGCTGCCGTGGTTACAGCCCAATAGGAGTCCTGAGCAAGCACGGAGAGGCATATGGTATTTATGTACAGTATGACTATGGGTGGCTCGTTCACCATTTGCTTGGCTGTAAAATGAGAACAACTGCTCCTTCATCGACATGAAGACTATTCAGAGCTATGGTTAAAGAAAACACGTGCACGTCAAATGCATTACTGTTACTACAGACACGCTGATGGAAGTCTGGTCTATATTCCAGGGCCCCAGCCAATCCTGAAGGTGTAGTAGTATCTAAAGCAAGAGGGAATTTGAGTGATTGGTTTGCCAACTAGAGTTGCTGTTAAAGCAAACGGCTCATTTCTAAACCATGGTTGCAGTGGTAGGAAAAGGTTGTGTCAGGCAGTTGCTATTCTACAGCACTGCTTGCTGCATCGCTCTTGTTTCTGCCCTTTCGTTTCAGGCTTTCCACTGAAGATGTGAGGATCTCTTTGGTGAGAATCAGGAGCTTTTCCTATGCAGTGGGTTGATTTGACATTGGTTTTGTGATGGAGACTGCGTGCCTACACCGCAAGTGTAGGGCATGAAGCCATCAAATGAGTATCGCAGAGCGGTACCTTTCTGAAATGAAAGGCAAGCCTCAGAACAGGATTAATGCACTTTTTGATATGATTAAATAAAATAATACCAGGGAGAGACAGAAGATTAAAAGGGATGATAAAAATCATAGGAAATAAAACCCAATGAGCCTGAAACACAGTTTGTGTGTCAGATGTTGCAAAAGTCTATTTGAAAATGAATGAGTCCATCCTGAGCAAAAGCTGGAAGGATCACGTCTCCTGAGTCAAATCTAAAGAGCTGCATGCACTCATGTACGACTCTGAGAACAAAAAAGACATCAAACAAGTAGTTTGCCAGTATTTAAGATCTTTTGCTATTCCTTTCTCTCAGTAGAGATGAGGAAAACCAGTGCAGCCCATTAGTTTTCTTGTCTAACGCTTCCACGCACACATTTGTAGTGGTGTGGTTTTTGCTTGTCAGCTGCTGCAGCAGAATGGTCGTTACTTCCCAAACCATGTATGTGGGACTGAAACTCACAACTAAAAAGCACATGGGAATTTTGCCTTTATTAAATGTCACCCCAAATGTGAAGGAATACTGACCTCTCAGTAAGAGACCAACGTCTGTATGCCAAAGAATAGCTTGCGTAATGTTGTAGTGCACATTTATGTTCCTTTAAGTCTTCAAAACAGTCCCAAATAATGTTAGCATCAGAATCATTTTGCTCCTACAACCCCCCTCCCAAGCCAGGTGGTGAATGCCCCATCCCTGTCAGTGTCCAAGGCCAGGTTGGACAGAGCCTTGGGTGACATGGTCTAGTGTCAGACATCCCTGCCCATGGCAGGGGGTTGGAACTGGTGCTCTTAAGGTCCTTTCCAACCCAAACCAGTCTGGGATTCTATGAACAGTCAAAAGAATGAGCCCATTCTACTCACTAAGCATTGCTCCATCACACAGTAGGGGTTTGCCAAGGTAAAGTTTCAAAGGAAGTGGCCAGTTGGTGCCACCACAGCTTTACCTGTCTTTAAAATCCTCAGCACAGGCTTGAATGTTCTCAGTGTGCAGCATAAGACGAGCATTTTCAAGGACTGCTTCGCCCACCTAGAAGAAGGAGACAACAGAGCTCAAGCAATGAGGAGCTTCAGCACCTAACTACGTGCATTGTACATGTGTCTTAAGCAGATGGATAGCTTTGAGTGTGAAAATAAGCCTCTAGCCGAGGGCTGTTCAAGTGACTCATTCCAGATAACGCAATCAATTACATTTGTACCTATAAAGGCACAAATGCTCTGCAAAGAGGCTGTAATTTGTCACCAAACTCACTCCCCCCCAAGCATTCATCTTGTGGAAACACATTTATTCTGATCATCAGCTGGTCGCAAGGGGAAAAATTCATTACAGCGTGAGAGGTACGGCCATCATTTAAGTCCCACTTATACTTTCACGGTACAGTTTAAGCAGCACTTATGCAGTTCCTATGCTACTTCCCATATCAGCAGGCCTCTGCGGGGTTGTCCTCTTCAGTGAGCCAAGGAATACTTGGTGCTCATTCTGCCTGCGAGCCGTCCTCAGCTCCCAGAGCATCGTTTTCCTTCTCTGCTGGGATCCTGTAAGCTCCTGCGATACGTATGAGACCTGAGAAGCAGGCAGTCTTGCGACGTTATTACACTGAATGGGAATGCTTTGGAAAGCTTGAGCAAATAAGACTGTGCTATCATTGCTATGGCTATGGGGTGGATCTTTGATGCCCAGGAGAGGCTTGAGGGGTAAGCAAAGCTGAAAGGCTTGTGACTTAACAGCTTGCTGTGGGTCAAGAAGGATATATAACATGATAAAAGGGTTCAAAAGACCACATGTGCACTGAGCTATGGAAGTGACCCAAACCATGTGGAATTCAGTATCAGAGCGTTCACCCCTGCAAATAGCTATCTGGGGACTACAGCCTTCCCACGGTCCATGATGTCGCTCTGAAGGAGCTAAACTGAGCATCTCTTTGGTCTTTTTCAGGACATACCCATAGAGACTTGCAGCTGAATCTAAACCGCCCCATGAATAAAAGCAGCTTTTAAAGTGGGATTTAAAGGGAGAGTTCTTGAAGCAGAAATCTTTCCTTAGATAACTGAGTCTGCAACCAAATGAGAACACAAATCCCTCGAAGCGTTCTGCTGCCCTGAGGTGAAACAGGCCGTGTCGTGTGGAGACATCAAGGCTGCGTCCAGGCAAGTTATCTGAAGTACCACAAGTGGGATCATTGCCTTAGTATGGTCCTACCTGCCCTTCAGCCTGCTGCTCGGTGATGGGGTGAAGGTGAACATGCAAGGCTGAAGCATTTCTACATGGTAATGAGTATTCATCCTCACCAAAAAGGATCCAAATGTCTTACAAATGCTGGGACAAGCAAATATGAAATCTATGAAGGCATCTGACAAGGAGAGATCTGTAGGAATGAGCTATTCCGCACATTAGGAAGTGAATAATGGATCATGACGTTGAAAGCACTCTGCATCCTCTAAAGAGTTAAAAGAAGTGGTTTGCTTGCTTCTCACCTACTGTTAGGAACAAAGAGGGAAGGTAGCTGGGGCTGGAAGCCTGGGGCTGGAGCTCCATTCCTGCTTGGCTTCCAAAGGAAACAGATCTCATACCCTTGCACTGGCGGCCAGTTTTCCTTTCCTGTGGCATATCTTGGCCAATTCCAACCCATAGGGTAGAGGGATAGGCCATCAGAGACATGCAGTTCCAACACGCTGCATGCAAATAGCATCTAGACAGAGGAGAGGAGCCTGAGAACACTGCTGCTGGGCAGAAATGGGTTTCAGCATGGGAGAATGAGGGAGAGCAGGAGGCAGAGATGTTACAAAAGGCACAGGTATGGGGAAGGAGCATCTCAGGGCACACCAGCCAGCCCTGCTGGGCAGCACACAGGTACAGGAGACTTTCATGTGCTTGCTGGCACACAGACCAGCACTTCTTCACCCCTTATTCAACCTTATTCAACCCCTTATTTCCTTCTCCCTGCTCTTCTGCAGCCCCACTTTGCCAGCACTGCTTGACACCCCAGCACCCTCTTTGTCCTCCTGCAGCACTGGGGACGTGCTGCTTTGCCATCCTCGGGTCCCAGTACACCAGGAGGTCTGAGCATCTCCTGAAGGATGGAGGGAATACATTCAGTTTTTAGATGGCAGCAGTATGGAGCTAGAGGCAGTTCTTCGACCCAGACTCAATGGTTGAACTGTTTTCTTCCTTCTTTTCCTTTTCCTTTTCCCTATGTACGGTATCTTGTATTCCTGTCAACTCACACCGGTGTGGATCATCACAGGACATTTGATTTCCTTTTCCTGATCCAAATCAGGGAGCTGCCCTGTGATTTGCCCTGCCCTGTCAGCACAAACCCATCAGTGAGCCCAAACCTGACTTAAAAGTCTGATGAGAATGAATGGCTTTGAGGGAATTTGGAACATCCCACGAGCAAAGGTAACACTACATGCTGTGAGCTGCACGGTGCCACTCAAAGGCATGTTAGTGGCCACATTTAGAGGATGAATCCAGTGTAAGATGGCTTTTGGGCCGCAATGAGAGCAGAAGCAGGGAATAGCTGGTGATGTGCTGCTGCCTGGGTTCCTGCCCCTATATAAAGTGCTTTTTTAAAGTGCTTTTCAGTAGAAATCCTGTGGGTTTATTGAGGCCTTTGAGGTGACTTCTTACCTGCCCCACAGTGCAACCCTGGTACCATGTTCCTGAGGACTCGGTCACTACCTGACTCCCCTGCCATAGGCTGGCAGCTAATGCCAAATACTCAGGGAGGAAGACCAGGGCTTTCCAAAGCTGCACATGGACCTGAACTGTATAAACAGCATAACAAAGCCTAATGTTTGGAAGGCTTAAAACGAGGGCTGTGTGGGGAGCCAGCAGGCTTTAGCCTTTTAACCCTCCTGGATATCAGCTGAGTATGCTGTAAGTGCAGCAGTGAACTTGCAGGGTAAATAGGACATGGTAGCGTCTATGCAGAAACCAGGTATCCTGGGAAACCCTGCTTTGAGCAAGCTGTGGAAGCCCTTTCCCAGGCTTCAGGAGAAGGGATGTGAGACTCCCATCTAGTGGCCCTTTGGGTTGATTTGACTCCATCAACAGCAGGAGGCAAACACGCAGCGTTTTGCTGACACACATACTATAGTGCAGAGGTTTAGGAAACATGTTTCTTGAGTCCACTGGGAATGAGAGGGCTTGTAATGCTGCAAGCACTTAGACATTGCCTTCTCTTGCATCTCGAATCCTGTGTTCAGTTCTGGGCCCCTCACTGCAAGAGAGACGTTGAGGGGCTGGAGCGGGGCCAGAGAAGGGCAACGGAGCTGGTGCAGGGCCTGGAGCACAAGTGTGATGGGGAACGGCTGAGGGACCTGGGGGGTTCAGTCTGGAGAAGAGCTTGAAGCTGTTTTCCAGCCCAGTTGATTCCATGATTCCATGATTCTCTGCTCGTAAAGCAGAAGGCAGCACTGTCCTGCCTCACAGGACTTACAGGAGGCTTTAGTCACCGATGCTCCTGTGGCATTGAACAGCCAAAATGGGAAGTGTTATAAAAATACAAATATCATTACTAACAATGGCTCCCCTAAGTCACACATTGCGTTCAACACTCAGAGCTGTGATGCGCATACACCTTTTGAACATGGTTTTTTTGGCTCTTGAACTAACACTGAGTATTCGTGGTATAAAGCATCTTAACTAGAAAGCAGCAACGATTTCCTTTGATTTCACTGGGATTTTATGGACATGAAAATGCAATTCTGATTTTTAGAAGAAAAAAACTTCATCAAAATCTGCATCAACATCCAGGCCCATTTAAAGGGTTACAACTGGCAACAAGGGAGCGTGCAGACTCCAGGCTTCATATCGAAGTCTGATGTGAAACAGACACTTATGGGGAGAACTTATCCCTGGTGACTGGCAACCTTTAATGGGACCCAGTTTGGCATTGCAAGGTTTACTGTGCCTTTCAAGACCTTAGCTATGCTTTATTGTAGCTCTGACTAGTTTTGCCTAAATCCTTTCTGAATGCAACCATATTCGTGGCCTCGGGTTGGACCTGTGATAATGAATCTCATGTAGTGGAGAATCATCTGGCTTTTAAGTTCAGTTAAAGCAAATGATGTGTCTGTGGAGAAAGATCAGAAGACGCCAGTCTGGTCTTTCCTTCCACACACAGAAGGAATCTGTTACCAACCCATCGCCTCCAACACACTTTAATTCATGCTTAAATCAGGCCAAAAGCATGCAACCCAGTGCCTGCTGCTCAGGTGCCAAGCAGGAAGCACGGAACACTACCAGTCATGCTTTCCATGTTGAACCCCTTCTCAGGGCCTGAAGGAGGAAAACTCCATGTGCACAAATGGTGTAGATGAGGCCCTCAGTGCCATGGGTTAATGATGGCTTTGGCAGCGATGGGGACTGGGTGAGCTGAAAGGGCTTTTCCAACCTGGTTGATTCTGTGGTTCTACGATTCAAAGGTAGTAAGAGTGGCATTTGTAACACCACCTTGGTAAAGGTAATACCTGGAGTGGCTGGGAAGATTGATGGGTTCTTTGCTGATTCCTGCTGCATCCAGGAAAACACAACTTCATGTGTACATCAAATACTTTATAAGTAAACAGGACTGCATCAAAGAATGCCTGGTTCTTAAAGCAGGAGGCACCTTCTAAAGAAACACTGTAAAACCTGGAATGTTGCCTAAGCAAAGGAGAAAACCTCAGCCCTCCTCCTCACATCTGTTTGTAAAGGGAGTCCAAGGTTGTGCTCTTGGAGGTGCCTGAGACGATATCATAGAATCATAGAATAGTTAGGGTTGGAAAGGACCTTAAGATCATCCAGTTCCAACCCCCCTGCCATGGGCAGGGACACCTCACACTAAACCATATCACCCAAGGCCTCGTTCAAAGCATTTATTGCCATCCTCTGTATGGTGGCTGATCAAGCTCCATGTCATTTGGTGAGAGTTTGTTGTGCCATTCCACATGTTTCCATACACTACTCATGCACTGTGTTGTGTTGGACCGTGTTACCGGTAATACCCAGCCGCTCTCCTGGCCCCCAAAATAAATCACTGACAACTAAATCACTGCATGTGAGTCCTCAGCCTGTCAGTCCTGTATATTCCCCAGGCTTAATATTAACATTGAGTAAATGCTGACAGTAAGGTCAGGTGCACATAGAAGTATCTCTATAGAAAAACCATGGGGATGGTTTTTCAAGTGCTCCCAACCATGCACAGCAGTCACAGCACTGATCAAATTGGTCCAGGACATCGATTCCTTCTCCTGTGACCTGAACCATGCCACATGCCAGCTCATAGACAGCATAAATCTGTGTGTAATGGAATGGTCACAGAGGCTGAGCTTTTCCTCTCTATACACTTGCTGAGAGTATTTCAAGCACCTGCCTTTCCCAGGTGCTGCCCTGCTCTGGGGGAAGGAATTGCCATTACAACCAACCTCCTATTCTGCCCAAAATACACATTCGATCAGAGATGGGGTTTTCCACAAGAACACTGGGATGAAGCCTGGAGAAAAGGAGGATGCCCAGGGACAAATGAGATGGATTTGAATTTCTTTCACATGAATTCCTCTCCACAGGGATACCTCATTTGCCTTGTTTCCTGCAAAACTCTTCCCATTTTCTGCCTGTCCCAGTTAGTGTGTGTACCCCGCTCTGCTAAAAACCAGCTGCCCAGCAGAGCACTGATGCTGTGAGCTGGGTAACGGCTTCCCATCATTCAGCTCCTGTGTTCCCCTGCTGCAGTAACAGCCCTGACAATCGCAGTGCAACATGAGTGGGGTTTCCTCTGAGGGTCCCTCCACTCGAACTGTCCAGGTCACTTAGAATCATGGAATCAACCAGGCTGGAAAAGCCCTTCAAGCTCACCCAGTCCAACCGTTCCCAGCACTTCAAGTCCACCACTAACCCATGGCACTGAGGCCTCATCTCCACTCTGTGTGGACACTTGCAGGGACGGTGACTGCAGCCCTGCCCTGGGCAGCCTGTTCCAATGCCTGAGCACCCTCTGGGGAAGGAATTGTTCCTCAGCTCCATCTAAACCTGCCCTGGTGCAGCTTGAGGCCGTTTCCTCTTGTCCTGTCCCTTGTTCCTTGGGAGCAGAGACCGACCCCACCTCACTCCAACCTCCTGTCAGGCACTTGTAGGGAGCCATCAGGTCCCCCCTGAGCCTTCTCTTCCCATTGCCACAGTCCCCCCTAGCTCTGTGTTCAGTGCTGGCACCCAGTTATCGCTGGGAGGAAAACCCCCTGACATTTGGGATGCCAAAACACACCCCTGGAAAGGTGGGGGGGAAACAGGAGCCCAGGACCGCTGGGGTTTCTTCTATCCCACTGTGGAGATGGGGCTGTCACATGTCTAATTTAGGGACCAGGAGAGCCCTGTGTGCTGTATCATTGTCTCATCAGCATGGCAGGAGGAAAGGGCTCCTGTCTGGATGCCCCACCTGCCCAGCTGTGTTTCTGTGCTGATTCTTGTTCAAAACCAGTTCCTGTCGTGTATTTGGGCTAAACCTGGTGGCTGCTCCTTCCACCCCAAAACTCTCACAGATGCTCCACACAAACGGCACCAATGGGGCTGTAGTTGCTGGGCATCCTTCTCAGCTGAACAGATGGGGCTCCCTGGGAATCCCAGACTGGTTTGGGTTGGAAAGGACCTTAACATTATCCAGTCCCAATCCCCTGCCATGGGCAGGGACACCTTCCACTAGAGCAGCTTGCTCCAAGCCCATGTCCAACCTGGACTTGAGCACTGCCAGGGATGGGGCAGCCACAGCTTCTCTGGGCACCCTGTGCCAGCATCTCAGCACCCTCATAGTAAAGTGATGTAATTCAGAAAACTTTATGCATTTTCTAATGTATTTAAATGGTTAAATAGATATGGATTAAGCTAGTCTTTTATTTTCTATGACACATGCAAATGCTATTACTACACAGCTTTACTGTGCTGGTTTTACATAGGAAAACCCTACTATCTGAGCTCAATTTCATCAGGAGCTGCTCTTATTTACTCATACAAGAGGCAGAGGCAAGGCAGCAGGATGACACTATAAAGAAAGGTTAAAAGGAAAGCAGTTTGGCTGAAAAAACTCATTACATGAGTAGGTTCATCAGCTCTATAATGCTAGGCTTTCATAGCGAGAAGAATCAAGCGGTCCTTCCTAAAGCACCTACATTCCTACTTCTTTGGTCCTAACCATAAGCCCCGGTAGGTTTTACAAGTGAGCCTACAACTGCAGAATGGGACACTCATCAGGAACACATGGGATGGTTGCAAAGCATTAACCCCCCATCTCGCATCAGTCTCCATCTACCCCTGGGAGATGGTAGGTTTGAGGGGGTGTTTTTGGAAGCACATGTTGACATGATCTTTGTATATAACACTTATCCCACTGCGTTCAGGGTTCGGATGCCATTTGTAGTGTTCTGGGTGAAGACCTGCCCTAAAACCGGAGCACACCATCAAAATGCTCCCTTCTTCCTGCACCAGGCTGAAACTCTGGACAGCCCAAGGTAAAACACGTGTTCGTCCTGGGGAACTTCAGTCCTTTATGCTTGCTGGGGACCATCTGAAGATGGTGTTTCCTGTGCCTGCTGGGAAGAGCTGTCAAGACTCAGGATTCCAGCCCTGGCTGGGAGTTGGGAAGCTGGGACTCACAAAGTGCACCGAGAACTCAGCGGATAGAGCCCTGTGTTTGCTGCAAGCAAGGACCTCAACTCGCAAGTCCTACTGGTCAGGAAAAGGGACTGGGTTTTGTCCACAAGGTCAATGTGAAGACCAGTTGGCATCCCTGCAATAAGCACTTTCCCAGAGCACCCACAGCCTGTGCCGTATGGAGAAGGTGGGAGTAAGGAGTGGTGTAATGGAGTAAGGAATGATGTAATGGAGTAAGGAATGGTGGAGTGGTGTAATGGAGTAAGGAATGATGTAATGGAGTAAGGAATGGTGGAGTGGTGTGATGGAGTAAGGAATGATGTAATGGAGTAAGGAATAGTGGAGTGGTGTAATGGAGTAAGGAATGATGTAATGGAGTAAGGAATGATGTAATGGAGTAAGGAATGGTGGAGTGGTGTAATGGAGTAAGGAATGATGTAATGGAGTAAGGAATGGTGGAGTGGTGTGATGGAGTAAGGAATGATGTAATGGAGTAAGGAATAGTGGAGTGGTGTAATGGAGTAAGGAATGATGTAATGGAGTAAGGAATGATGTAATGGAGTAAGGAATGGTGGAGTGGTGCTGAAGGGAAGGAAAGGAGCCACGCACTGGTAGCCATTATTATTAAGCAACTATTGGTTTTAAAATAAATAGACCTTTTGGAAAGGTGATGAAGCAAATGAGGGAATAAAGTAAAAATCTGAGTTCCTGATAAATAAACCCAACCCAATGTGCTTGCCATGATATCATTGTGAGGGATAAACTGATCCAGCCCTAGCAGTCTTCTCTTAATCACTTTGATGCTCAGTGTCATAACTCCAGCCAAGCAAATGACAAGAAACACCCTTTTCCCCCCATTTGGATCAGCACCTTGGGCCGCATTTCAGTTGCCCCCATGTATTGCCTAAGGCAATTCTCCTGCTCAATAGGCACCTTCCATAGCACACCGCAAAATGATAACTGCCATGAAGATGGATTCAAACCCCTTGATATCATCACCAGCACCAGCCAACCCTTGCGCTCAGGGATGGAGCTCTCCCCCCTACCCCGGCTCACCTGATGGTAAATGGCCTCCCAGTTCTCCCGCAGCGCTCCCCAGCTGCCCACGCTGGCCGCTTTCTTATCCAGGTACACTCTGATGTGCTCCTCCAGCTCCTGGTTCACCTGCTCGAGCGCTCGCACCTTCTCGATGTACTCCACCAAGCAGCTGTTCAGGCTCTCGTACGAGAGACCCCGGCCCTTCTCCAGCCCCGCAGCCAAGGGCACGGCGGCCGAGGAGCTGCGCAGCCCCTGCAGGAACACGCTGCTGATGCCCAAGGCTCTGCGGGACACGCGGGTGCCCAAGCTGCTCACGCCGCCCGTGGGGACGGTGCCCACGTAGACACCGGGGGGTCTGGACAGGCTCCCTGCACCGCCGATGCTCAGCCGGCGGCCGGGCGGCCCCGAGCCCTCGGAGGCAGAGGGCTGCTGGCCCAGGAAGGATGACCGGCGCCTCGGCAAGGGCATGGTGCTGCTCCGGCCTGGCCCGCGCCGCAGCTCGGCCTGCACTGGCGGCAGGGATGTGCCGAGCCCAGCACGTCGGGGGCTCGCCGGGGGGCTTCGGCTTTGTGCGACGGCTTTCTGGAACGAGGGCTTTGTGCTGGGCAGGAGCAGCCGACACATTGTGCGTGCGGGCGCTGGGTCAGCAATCCCATTGCAGGGGAAATCTCCCTGCTGCTGCTGCTGCAAATGTGGCCCATGAAAAGCACAATGGTGTTTACAGGGACAGCATTCCGCGCAACGCACGTGTTGAAATACCAGCGGTGTTTTCTACGCCGACATCCCGGTGATGTCCTGCCCTTGCACCCACAGGTATCCCCACGCACGTTACACGTGCATTGGCCGCTCACACCTGTGGCTCCTGCAGCAAGATGTTACCTGAAGCTGGTAAAACCCAAACTGCTGAGGAGCCGGCAGGGCCACAGCCGAGCAGAGCCAAGCAGCCTTTTGCTGCTGCAGAGCCTCAAATGCCCCCTCGGTCCTGCTGCAGCTTCTGGATTTCTCTGTGCTTTGGCTTCACAGAATCCCAGACTGGTTTGGGTTGGAAGGGACCTTAAAGCTCACCCAGTTCCAACCCCCTGCCATGGGCAGGGACACCTCACACCAGACCAGGTTGCTCCAAGCCCCTGTGTCCAGCCTGGCCTTGAACACTGCCAGGGATGGGGCAGCCACAGCTTCTCTGGGCACCCTGTGCCAGTGCCTCAGCACCCTCACAGGGAAGAGCTTCTGCCTTTTATCCAACCAGAACTTCCCCTGTTTCAGTTTGAACCCATCACCCCTTGTCCTATCGCTACAGTCCCTGATGAAGAGTCCCTCTCCAGCATCCTTGTAGCCCCCTTCAGACACTGGAAGCTGCTCTGAGGTCTCCACACAGCTTCTCTTCTCCAGGCTGAACAGCCCCAGTGTTCTCAGCCTGTCTCTATACAGGAGGTGCTGCAGCCCCTGAGCATCCTCGTGGCCTCCTCTGGACTTGCTCCAACAGCTCCATGTCCTTCTGATGTTGAGGGCACCAGAGCTGCACACAGTGCTGCAAGTGGGGTCTCATGAGAGCAGAGCACCTGATCAAGGCACATTGCCCCAAACCCAGCAGATGTTAACTAGGGACAAGCACCATCTCAGTTTAATCTCACATTACCAGCTGCACTTGGTCTGTTCAACAAGGGCCCATTTCACTTTCCCTGCAGAACGTGGCATCAAGTAAGGCAACTGTGAACTGAAAGAAAAGGGCAGAACAATCCCTGAGACTTATTGCAGGAGATGGGGCAGTTTTCCCCTGCTCATCTTTTGAAGTCATTGCTCTTTAGTGAGCAGCAACCAAGCGGGCAGTTTCTAAGTACACAAGCAGGATGTGTTCGTGGTACAGCGGGATCCTTCACTGCACAGTGTTAGATACGGCTTTTTCTACCTACACCCAGGGCTGCTTCCCGGCTGGGACGCCAGACTTGTTCCAGTGTAGGATTCCCGTGGGCACATCGTTGCAAGCATTCCTGCAATGTGCTGATGTTGGACATTGCCCTAATGCGGGGTGGGTTTGGACAGGGGTGGCGGCGAGGCTTTGGCGAGACGGAATGTAATCAGAAATCCCTGCTTTCCGTGGGACCCTAATCCTGGCTCGCCGCGCTGGTGCCCGGGGCTTGTTTGACTTGCTTTTTGAGCCTGAGAACTGAGAGACAGCCTGAAGTTGGGTCCCTGCTTCCCATTTGTGTGATGCTTGGGAATAACGCAGCATCTCGCAGCTTGGTGAGGATCTCTGGCTAGCCTCTAGGCATTCTGCAGTTAGACCAAGCAGGCTGGGCTGGCTAAATGAGAGGAATCCTCCAGTGTTTCTCACACATCATCTTCAGTGTATTTGCTTGTGTCAAATAAAAATGAAGCATCTGCCTTGCAAAAGCATCCCAGTGCACAGCAAACACATCTAAACCTAAGGACTCCTAAACAAAAAACTGAATTTAATCCTCTCTAACCTTGTTCTTTCTCCCCACCTCCTTGCTGAAACAGAGGTGATGGTCCTCAGGGGGTTGTTTTTGCTCTCAGCAAGACTCTGGGGAAGGTTTTACTCTCTTAATCAACCTGTGAGTTCCAGGAGGCCATCTGGTATTTGATCCCGAGGCTCACAGATATCACACTGCATTAACTTCACAGTGAAAAGATACATTCCCAAAGTTCCCATCCATGTCCATACACAGCCACGTCTTCCTGCCTGTCCTGGTCACCTCGTAGGGAAGCAGTGGGTTACCCTGATGTGAGCAGAAAATCACATTATCTAGGAGGGCCCCTACAGTGTTACAGTGTTCTCGTTTTAGGCAGCCTGTGCCCCCCATTCAGATGTCTGCCCTGGCACAGTGAAGTGCACATGTGGGACAGGGAGCAGGGAGGGTGACAAAGGCTCTCTGCCCCCGTTGGTCCCAGGGTGAGCCACGTCTTGGTGTGATCACAGCCATCATGTAGTGAAGTTGCCAGGTTGCTCTGAGTAACTGCAGCCACTGGGACACTGTTGGCAGGTGGGAACAGCTGGACCAGATGTGCTGTAGTTCCCCTGTCTGGTACCAGCTGTGACTCCCCTTGGACAAGGTGCTTGGTTAATGATGCTACACTGACCCTGACCTCAAAACTTCCCTTCAGAGAATCCTAGACTGGTTTGGGTTGGAAAGGACCTTAAGCTCATCCAGTTCCAACCCCCTGCCATGGGCAGGGGCACCTCACACCAGACCAGGTTGCTCCAAGCCCCTGTGTCCAACCTGGCCTTGAACACTGCCAGGGATGGGGCAGCCACAGCTCCTCTGGGCACCCTGTGCCAGCGCCTCAGCACCCTCACAGGGAAGAGCTTCTGCCTTAGATCTAACCTGAACTTCCCCTGTTTCAGTTTTCTCAGCCAATGTTCTCACCCTGTCTCCATACAGGAGGTGCTCCAGCCCCTGGGCATCCTCGTGGGCTCCTCTGGACTTGCTCCAACAGCTCCATGTCCTTCTTATGCTGCGGACACCAGAACTGCACACACCAGGCCAAGTGAAGCAGCTGAGTCCAACACAGGGCATCTGTGCAGGAGAAAAGGTAATTCCTGTCCATGCTCATTGCTCTGGAGCTCAATCTGGACCTTGGCTCTCCTGATTCGAGTATGAAAGGTAACGTAAAAAACTCGTGAGGCAGCATGACAACCCCAACAGGTTTGCCCATGTCTTGCCTGGCTCTGGATCCTATGGGTGCAGTGGTTTTGCTTGTCATCCCACTTCAGTCCAGCTCTCCTGCTCCCCGTCTACTGACCCTGGCTGGTTCCTACTGGAAAGAGGATTCTGAAGGGCTTATCCCAGTCAGTGCTCAGGCAGTACTGGAGTCACACAAAGGATACAAGACTGGCACTCAAGCTGTATGGACTTCTTCTGGCAATGGAGCTTGTCCTGTCTGCTTGTGTTCCTAAAGGAAAGGAGTGACCAGAGTCTCATTTTACAGCAGGAGAAGGGACGGCTGCTGAGCAGGAATGCTCATGGCCAGGCTGAGGGATGTCATGTAGGATGCAGGATGCTGTGCCCAGCACAAAACCAGCCTTACCCAATCCTCCTCCACACCAAGTATATTGAGCAGCAGGTTGTAAATGACAGTGAAGAAACCAGTCCACCTGAGAGGTCTTTTGCTTAGAAATACCTTTATTTTATAAAGCCACAGTTCTGTAAAGTTTTACCACACTTATAAAAAAGGGGCTGACAATTCTGAGGGAGAAAAGAAAAGCTGAAAACGTTTCTTGTAATCCAGGGTTACACAAAGGCTATATTTATAATATATATATGTATTTATAATCTGGGGCCAGTCGAGATGGAACTGCAGTACGGGGGAGCTGGGGGCTCATATTTCAGAGACTTGCTCGTGTCCTACAAATAGTGTCTCTTGGCAGAAGGGGTTCACAAGGACCATCCCGCTGTCACGATAGTCGCCGTTGGCAGGGGAGCGCGGCTCGGAGAGGTGGTCCTAGGACAAAGACACAGCAGCAGGTTGAGCACCTCGCAGCTCCGCTGTGAGCACACGGGGCGCTGCACTGCCCTGTACAGCACATATGGGGAATGGGATGATGTTTTTATCAGAGAACCAGAGAAGCACAGACTGGTTAGGGTTGGAAAGGATCTTAAGATCATCCAGTTCCAACCCCCCTGCCATGGGCAGGGACACCTCACACTGAACTCACCCATTTTTGGGGGGTGTTTTTGGTTGTGTTGTTGGTGTTTGTGGTGTGGTGTGTTTTTTGTGTTTTTGTTTTTGGGTTGTGGTTGGGTTGGTTGGTGTTTTTTGTTTAAAGTCCCACTACCCCCCTTACCTGATGCTGTGTGGGACGTGCACAGCACACAGAGCAGAAGGACTGACTGTCAGTAACAAGCCAGCCCAAAGAGCTCTCCTAAGCAGTTGTGGTATGGGGCAGACATTGGCCATAGGCTCAAAAGGAAGAGAAACTCAGGAACAAAGTCACCTAGAGGTGATGAACTCCCATGACCACACAGCATTATGGAATACATGTGCAACAGCTGGGAATAGGATGCAACCCTGTTTTGGTGACATACATGTGTAGGGGTGAGTCCTTCCCAAAAAGCTGTTTCCCTGAACGTGTACATACCTCTGAAGTCTCCAGTGACTGGATCTCTCTCGGTAACTCTACAGCGTGCCTGTTGAAGTAGTCCATGGTAATAGCATTGTTCCAATAGCTCAGGTTGTTTTCCGGGTTGGATGTCTTTTTCTTCCTCCTCATGCAGCAGACTGTCAGCAGAACTGCTGTCAATAGAAACATGTCAAAAAAGTGGTTATTTCCTTTCAATAAGGACTCATCAGTACCATGGATTTGGGTTTTACGTTACTTAAGGGGAAGGCTGGTGACCTTTGTTCATACGATTCACTCTTGGTCAGATCTAGCTCTCTCCTACCAAACCCCACACAATTAAGTGAGAATCCGGGTCAAGTGGATGAGACTTTGGGTTTGGCAGAAAGATCAGGTTTTGCTTCCTTTTTGATGTGAGTTTATAATCTCCAAGATGTGGCTGCCTGGCTAAGGGAAAGCTTTGGTGGTGTAGCTGATGGTATTTCAATACTTGAGCAGGGATTTATAGACCCTGTAGGACAGAGGACTCTCCCCAGGGACCGTGAAGGATGCTGCTG